GGCACTCTACCCAGGGGGACAGCTTGCGGCTTTGTCTCAAATAAACAAACAACAACAAAGGAACAAGCAGCCTCACAAAATCCTGCCAGGGAAGCAGAGGAGGGGGATTGTATCCAGGAAGCCCCAGAGTTCTCTGGGAACCAGAATAAGGATGCATAGAGAATTGGGGCAGAACTCAAGAGTGACTGCCTCTGCTCACAGCAGCCTCAGAGACCTTAGCAGGAGCAGTAGTCTCAGCTGCTCCTTTGCCTCAACAGCCTGGAGGCTCACCTAGTCTGTCTCTAACTGTGCCCTTTCTAGAATTCTCTGTGGAGACTCAAAACTTCCTGAGGACTCCCCCCCACCCCAATGCCACAAAGTGATTCCAGGAAGGCCAGAGAGGAGAGGACTAGTGTCAGCCCCTTAGGACAGAGCAGGGCTCTGCCAGGACAGAGGGGTAGCCATCTTCCCAGGCCCCCTCCCTATGCAATCTTAGAAGAAATGAGATTTGGACACTGAAGTTGCTCCTGCCTTCCACCCTCTACCCCAGTGGTGGAGAGCTGCTCGGTCTCTTGGGCCTCACCCTGTTGTTTAGAACTGGGTCTTCGTCCTCCTTTGTTTTTTCTGCATCTCTTGAAGATGGGGCTGCTCTGGATTTGCAGAGATTGTAAAGCTGTGATAAAATAACATGTAGTAATGGCTGTCTTCTGACCATCTGTTTTGGGTTGGATCAGAACATGCCTGGTTTCGTGGCAGGATCTAACAAGCATCTCCTCCCCATCCAGGTGGTGAAGGTGGGTCTGGTTGAGGACTCTCCCTCCACCGCAGGTGAGCTTGGGGCTTCTGGCTATAGAGGGTGGTCTCCCATCTTCTTTCTAGTCCAGTGGGCCCAAAGTTAAAGGTGCTGGATGTCCTAAAGGAAGACAGAGTTGGAGCAGGAAGAGTGTGGACACCCTTACTCCCCATTGCCACGGTGGCCAGGGGAGGTAGGGAAGAGCCTGAGGCCCAGGGAGGAAGGCCAGGCTGCCGCAGAGACACAGGGAACACCTCAGCTCCTGCCACAGCAAGTGAGGATGGCTTCCACTGGCCAACTGTGTTTGTCCCCTGACAGGTGACGGGGATGATTCACCTGTGGTCAGCCTTACTGTGCCCTCCACGTCACCACCCTCCAGCTCCGGCCTGAGCCGAGATACAACGGCCACTCCCCCCTCCTCCCCATCCATGAGTAGCGCCCTCGCCGTTATGGGGTAAGGCCCTCCCCGTGCCTGCCTATACCGCGTGCGCCTTGACGGGAGGGACAGAGGCCCAGCAGCCTAGGCACATACTCCTCCCATCTGGCAGAGTGGTGAGGTTGGGTGAGACTATTCACAGAGAGGTAACCCATGCAGCACTGTGCAGGTGTCTTGTCACAGGGCTTCCCAAGGCAGTCAGAAGATGTGGGCATGGGAGGTAAGACCCACCTGGGTGAGCGGCTCTGTCTTCTGTTCACTGTATCAGCCCAGACAAGTTACCAGACTTCAATTTTTATTTTGATTTTGAGGCAGTCTCACTAGGTAGAGTGCCTTGGCATCATAGTTCACAGCAACCTCAAACCCCTGGGCTCAGAGTGATCCTCCTATCTCAGCCTCCCGAGTACAGGCACCTGCTATCTTGCGTGGCTAGTTTTTCTGTTTTTAATAGAAATGAGGTCTTGCTCTTTCTCAGGCTGATCTCGAACTCCTGAGCTAAAAGGATCCACCCTCCTCGGCCTCCCAGAGTGCTGAGATTATAAGCAGGAGCTACTGCACCTGGCTTAAACTTCAGTTTTGTCTTCTGTGAAGTAGAGGTGAAAGGCCCACCTCCTAGCATTGTTGTGTGGCTTAAATAAGCCTGAGTATTCATGCTGGGCCCATTGAGCTGTTTCCTGCCACACAAGGCACAGGGCTCAAGGCCACTGCCATGCAGAGCGTCACAGAGCATTTGTTCAGGATCCTCTTCACTGAACTTCAGATGACGCCTGTCTAGGACACAGCCTTCCTTGAGAGAAGGTTCTCCACCCAGAAAGAGCTCTGAGGAGAGGGGAGCTGGCAGAGCCAGAACCTTCTGCAGACAGAGTCCCCTTCCTTACCCCATTTTCCTTCCCACTTTTGTCTTGTAACAACAGAGGGAAGCATTGGCCAGGAAGTTTTATAGAAGCGCCAAGGGCAGCATCACATCCTCAATCTTTGCCCCCTTGCCGGCTCTCCTTTGCCTTCTCCATCACAGCGCCCACTGATGGCCCAGCAGGGACAGTGTAGGGAGAGGAGGGGAGGTTTTTTAATTTTTTTTTAATGGAATCACTGAAATGAAGCAAAAAAGAAAAGTCAGATGACTTCTGTAGCATGGGTTCCTATTGTAGCTGACGCTTCCATTCAAGAAACATCAGCCCTCTTTCCCCTGGGAGCTAAAACTGTTGCTGAGCTAAAAATGCCAGAAAGATTAGGGAGCCGCAGGTCCCCCACCTCTCCTGCTCTCACCCACCTCCTCACATTGCCGGCCCAGGACCTGCTCACCGGCCATGTGCATGCACTTGGACATCCTGGTTCACGTGTGTGTTTTCTGCCTCTCCTCCTCCTATGACGTTTCTGTTTGGTTCCATTTCTGTGACCTGTGTCTTCATCCTCTTGGCTTTGTTCTCAGGCCAGCCTGACTGCTTTTGCATGCACCAGTTCAGCAGGAATATAGCCACGGGGCTGGTCTTCCTCCTCAGCCGGCACCTCCTGAGGCTGCGCTGCCCCCTGCCCGTCTGGCTGTGTACTTGGGGCAGAGCCAACCTCCCGTCTTTGCCCCCTTCTCCAGGAGTCCCAGTAGCCCATATGGGGATGTGATCGGCCTCCAGGTGGACTATTGGCTGGGCCACCCTGGGGACCGAAGGAGAGAAGGTGACAAGAGGGATGCCAGCTCCAAGAACACCCTTAAGAGCGTCTTCCGCTCGGTGCAGGTCTCTCGCCTTCCCCATGGTGGAGAGGCCCAGCTTTCTGGCACCATGGCTATGACTGTGGTCACCAAAGAGAAGAACAAAAAAGGCAAGTGCTCCCTAAGGCCACAGATGCCCTCAGCCTCTAGTCTTCCTGTCTCCTTTCTCAAGGTCTGGGACAGACTCTGCTTCTGGGAGACATGAGGTAAAGGTAGGGCAGCACACGCACTCTGGGGTCCAGCCTGGAGTCTGGAGGGGCAGTCATGCCTTCACCTGTGGGATAAGGCCTTCCTTCCATGAGTCAGGAAACTAAAGTCCCAGTGAGTTGTCCAGGCATGGTGGCTCACGCCTGTAATCCCAACATCCAGCACTCTGGGAGGCTGAGGTGGGTGGATTGCTTGAGCTCAGAAGTTCAAGACTAGCCTGAGCAAGAGCAAGACCTTCTCTCTACTAAAAATAGAAAATCTGGGGGGCACCTGTGGCTTAGTAGGTAGGGCGCCAGCCCCATATACCAAGGTTGGCAGGTTCGAACCTGCCCTGGCCAAACTACAACAAAAAATAGCCGGGCATTGTGGCAGGCGCCTGTAGTCCCAGCTACTCGGGAGACTGAGGCAAGAGAATCATCTAAGCCCAGAAGCTGGAGGTTGCTGTGAGCTGTGCTGTCACGGCACTCTACCCAGGGTAACAGCAGAAAGTCCCAGTGAGTCATGTAGTCACTATTTGCCCAGCACCACACTATAGGGGCTGAGGCACTTACTGCTGGGAAGTGAAAGCCTTTTTGGCCACTGCCCTCTGAGGTGAGCTCTGTGACAGGGAGAGACATCTCCAGACGACAGCCCTGTGGTCCCTGTGACACTGGGGAGCAGAGCATCTGTGCCTGCCTTGGAGGCCACTCCAGAGAGGCTCATGAGCAAAATCATGTAGTAGTTTTTAAGAATCAGGCATACAGGCTCGGTGCCTGTGGCTCAAGTGGCTAGGGTGCCAGCCACATACACCTAAGGTGGTGGGTTCAAATCCAGCCCAGGCCCACCAAACAGCAATGATGGCTGCAACCAAAAAATGGCTGGGCGTTGTGGCGGGCGCCTGTGGTCCCAGTTACTTGGGAGGTGGAGGCAGGAGACTCACTTGAGCCCAGGAGTGGGAGGTTGTTATGAGCTGTGATACCACAGCACTCTACCCAGGGGGACAGCTTGAGGCTCTGTCTCAAAAAAAAAAAAAAGAATCAGGCATGCAGTCCATTGTGGGTAAAAGCAGTGGCCTGGGGGTGGCTCCTATAGCTCAAGGAGTAGGGCGCCAGCCCATATGCCGGAGGTGGTGGGTTCAAACCTAGCCCCGGCAAAAAACTGCAAAAAAAAAAAAATGCAGTGGCCTGAGGGACTGGAGAGTGGTGTTGGGTTCTGCACTGTGGGAGGGTGAAGCAGGAATCCCACAGCTGGGTCAGTGCTGAGCACACCTGCCATTGTCAGCTGGCTGGGGACCTGCAGCACCAGCGTGACCCCAGGCCCTGCGTCCTGTGGGTACCCTAAAGCAGCTGTGCCTGTCTCTGCAGAGCTTCCCTATGAGCAGGCAGTGGACTGTGCCAGGCCCAGGGAGGGACTTGCTAGGGACAGCTATCAGCTAAGCAGCGCCTCCTCAAGCTTTCTGGAGCAGGGTCAGCAGGAACATGTGCTGCACTGACTTTACTCCAGAGCTGGGACATTCCAGCTAGGAGGGACCTCAGAGACCAGGGGCGTTACTGCACAGATGAAGATGCTGAGGTCTGGGGAAAAGAGGTGGGATCATAACCAAAGTTGAGCCCAGTGCTGGGACCAGGTCAGGAACCTGTAGATTGTGACCCACAGCCCAGAACCAGGGAGTGCAGGGGAGAAATGGTTTCTGGCCAGTGACCATCCTACTGCAGGACACGGGAAGGAGTACCTGCTTCTCCAGGGCCTGTGACCTGAGGTCCTGCTTGCTTTCTAGTTCCCACCATCTTCCTGAGCAAGAAGCCCCGAGAGAAGGAGGTGGACTCTAAGAGCCAGGTCATTGAGGGCATCAGCCGCCTCATCTGCTCTGCCAAGCAGCAACAGACCATGCTGAGAGGTAAGGGGCGGGACGGGAGGGCAGAGGTGGAGGCGGGGGCCAGGGCAGCCCTGCTTACCCTCCTCTCCCTGTCACCCAGTGTCCATCGATGGAGTTGAGTGGAGCGACATCAAGTTCTTCCAGCTGGCAGCCCAGTGGCCCACCCATGTCAAGCACTTTCCAGTGGGACTCTTCAGTGGCAGCAAGGCCACCTGAGGCCCTGTGCCCCGGCCACCCTCCCTCCTGGCACTGCCACCAGCCTCACCGCCTGCGGGCAGGGGGAGGCCAACAGGCCTGTGCCCAGCATCCCCTTCCTTGGTACCAGCTCCTGCCTCTTACCTGCCCAGGCCTGAAGGACACTGCCACTGCACAGGCCACCCTGTGCCACCCTTGCTGCCTCTCCTCTCCTCTCCCTCTGCTCCAGGCTGAGGGCATGTCAATTTTCCCTTCTGGTGCCTATAGTCCCCGGAACTGAGTCCTCCACCCGATTTCCAGCCTCTTCCCGGTGACTCCAGTTCTTTTCCTGGAATCCTGGTCCATGACAGAAGAGCCGTCCTCCCTGCAGCCCCGCCAGCCTGATGCCCCTCACTCTGTCCGCCTAAGGCGGGGCCCAGGGCCACTTCCCACTCCAGTAGATTCCCCACCTGCCCCATGGCTTCCCACTGTGGGGTAAAGAGGCTCCTTGAGCCCATGGGACTCTTCCCACAGCACTCGGGGATGGGAGGTGGCACCCTCAACCCAGGACTATGTTGCTGAGGTGATACACGTGTTTACTGGATGAGGGGTCCTCCCAGTCTTCCCATGCACGACTTCTTTCCATCCCCTCCCTGTCCCCTGTAGATGTCATGTGCGTACCGAGTATTTTTTTATTTCTCTGCACGGCCAGTCTCTTGGTTGTTCTGTGTGACACGCCTTCTCTTTGTCCTTGTGGCTAGCACTCACCCCTCTGCCTCCACCCAGCCCCCCTCTGCCTAGACTCAGAAACGGGAGGCAGACCCCTCCTGCACAGTGTTGGCCCCAGCCACCATATCTTCCTCTCTCATCCTGTCATGTGGGGCTGTCTGCCCCTCCCAGCTCATTCTTCCCCTCCTCCCATCCAGTTGTCCTCTCAGCAGGCTTCTGGACTCCCTGACTCACCCCCCTCGGGTTGGAGCCCCTCCTGGCCTAGGACACAGGGCTTTCCCACCTGCCAGCATTTCTTGTCCTCTCTCTCCTTCTTAGTGTTTTTTGCACAGAACTTCATTTTGAAGGTTTTTTTCATTCTCCACCCCTTCCCAAACTGTCCTCCAGCCCTGCCTGTGGTGTGGCCCTGCCCTCGGCTCAGCCCTGTGTCCAGAGCAAGTCCTGGGCTAGAGAGAGGAGATGGGTGGAAGGGACTGAGGTGATGTTGGGTTTTTCATTCAATAAACTGGTGATTTCTTACCAACTGCCTTGGGCTTCTGTGCCCAGGAGCCATCCATGCACCCAAATGCAGCCTCCCCCTGGTGAGAACCTTCCAAGAGGGCAGGTAGAAAAGAGGCATGTCCCCACACCTTAAGTCATGAACAGAAATGACAGTGCCTCACACAGTGTGAGGCAAGCAGAGGTCAGACCCAGGAGTGGCACTATTCCCACACCAAAATCCCATCTTCCCAGGACTCACCAGCCACAAATTGCAGCTCCCAGGCAGTGACATGCCGAAGGTGGTTTCCTCTCTTCTGAGCAAAGGTCAGACCTTCTGAGAGGCCAAGGCAGGTGGATTGCTTCAGCTTACAGGTTTAAGATCAGCCTGAGCAAGAAGCGAGACCCCCATCTCTAAAAAATACCTGGGTGTTATGGCAGGTGCCTATAGTCCCAGCTACTCTGGAGGCTGAGGCAAGAGGATCACTTGAGTTTGAGATTGCTGTGAGCTCTGACGCCATGGCACTCTTATCGAAGGCAACGGTGAGACTCTGATAAAGTCAGGCCTTGAGGGCTCGGCGCCTGTGGCTCAGGCGGCTGGGGCGCCAGCCACATACACCTAAGGTGGCGGGTTCAAATCCCCAGCCTGGGCCCGCCAAACAACGATGGCTGCAACCAAAAAATGGCCAGGCGTTGTGGC